ATAATAATAATAATAATAATAATAATAATAATAATAATAATAATAATGGAAATACTCTGTCTAAATGCTCTGAGGGTCATTTGGAAAAATCCTTTCTTAGGGAGCCCCTAGAAGCCAAGAGGAACATACGGGCCAAATTTCAAATTTGTGGGCTTGGCGTTTCTGGAGATTTTGTGATGATGCGTGAGGGGTATTTTGCTTTTATATAGAGAGATGACAGAGTTGGAAGGGACCTCGGAGGTGCTATAGTCCAACCCCCTGCTCAAGTAGGAGAAATGGTTGTCCAGTCTCTTTTTGAAAACCTCCAGAGATGGAGCCCCCACAACTTCTGGAGGCACTGACTAATTGTTCTCGCTGTCAGGATAGACAAGGTAGAATGTTTAATTTTTTAAAAAAAAAATTAAATGGCGGTTTTTCTTGCTCTCCTGCAGGTCCCTCCGACCAGGCGTTTCTCGCACGACGAAACTGAGATTTGGACCACCAGCCAGATTTCGGCCTACTTTCAGCACTGGGTGGCAGGAGAGGACATCACCGCCGAACTGGCAAGCCTGCTCCTCCCTCAGCCTCGCTATGACCGGCGGAGGACCAGCGGCCTATCCTACCAGGAGGAACGGCGTCCCCACCGGAAGCGCCGGAAGTCGGCTGAGAGCCCGTTATCCCTCAAGCCCTTCTCCTGCGAAGACCTCCACCAGCAGGGAGGCTACAAGTGCTTCAGCAAAGAGGACGTTCCCAGCCCTACCCTGAGGAGACCGCCGGTGCGCTCGGCCTCTGTCTCTCTCCTCCCAGATGCCTTTCCACGCCGTTCGACCGCCACGGTTCTCCGAGACTTCCCTCTGACAACTTTCGAACGAGAGCCTCAAGTCTTGCGAAGCATCTCAGTCCAAGGACGAGGGAGTTCTCTGGCCGTACCGGTCCTTCTCCCGGCCCAGGAGGACTCTCGGATCCTTTTCCCCAAAGGGAGCTTGGACACGCCTTGCCACAAACAGATTCACGTCGAACTCTGCGAGAGTCCCGGCACGGAGGACTGTCCGATGATCAGGAGCTGCTCCAAGACCGAATGTTTCCGAGCAGGGCTGAGCCCCTCTTGGAGAGGGCAAGACAACCTGCAGAAAAACGGAAGCAAAGGGAGCACCAGCAGTTTCTTGAGCTCGCCCTCGGCCTCCTCGGGATACGTCACGTTCCACTCGGATTCGATCAGCTCGGCCTCGTAGATGCCGGAGTAGCCGGAATTGCTTCGTACGCGGATCTTCCAGGCAGTCTAGGACAACCCAACACATCGTGGGAAAACTCAGGACAATTCAACAAGGCGTCAGTCCTATCGCTCCGTTACTTTGTGATCGGCAGCCATGTTTTTGTCGAAATTTTTGTAACTCCCGTATTTCTGCAATGACTTTCTTTTGTTATTATGCGCCACGGATCCGTCGAAATTAACTTTTGTATTTGTTGAGTTGTCCCATGGCGAGTTGGCTGCCGTTCAGCTTCCAGATTTGTTTCTTGCTCAACGGGACGCCCTCCGGTTGCGGTCTGGATTTGGTAAACGGGAACTGGACAAAGCACCAAAGAACCTTTATCTTGTCTCTGGTCCTGGTTGCCACAAGCAGGAGAGAGAGAGAGAGAGACGTTAAGCGGGATGCTTTGGAGAGCAACCGTGTCAGCAAAGCACTTCGAATCCAGACGGGTCCTGTCTCAGCTCGGGGCAAGGGAGGGTAACGCTCTCCTCTCTTCCTTTTCTACTGCAAGAACCCCCACAGCTCGTCCCAAAACGACGGACTTTTTGGTTTGGTTCATTTTTCTAATCATCTCACATTTCCTCCAAGAACTTTTCTAGGTAGATGTTAAATGTGCATGTCTTTGGGTACTGATTCTTCTCTCTGGGAGCACGGACGTGGGAGGAAGCTGTTGCCAAAAAAGAGCCCAGTTCCCCTTTAAGAAAAAGGCTGGGGACACGCTCCCAACTTTCTCAGTCCTTGCTCTGCATTCCAAGGGACCCTCTTTACGAGCCATGAGGGGATGGTGGTGGTTGAGATGCGCGTGGGGTCCATTCTTCCAAAATAGCGTCACGTGCGAGGGGTCCGTTATTCCAGAAGTGTTGCATGCACATGGTCTGTTATTCCAGAATAATGTCACGTGCATGGCGTCCGTTATTCCAGAATAGGGTCGCATTGATGTGGTCAATTATTCTGGAATAGTGTTGCATGTGTGTGGTCCGTTATTCTGGAATAGTGTCGCATGCATGTAGTCCGTTATTCCGGAATAGCGTCAGCGTTGGGACTGGGACAAACTCTGATTGTTTGCTAACAAGGTTGAAGGTTTCTCTCCTCTCAGGAGCAAAATTTTAAGTCTGATCCAGGAAAAAATCCCTTTGGGTTCATTCCCCAGCCCGCTAGTAGCCACCCTGCCTCCTGCTCAGTGCCAAAGCCTCACCCCACATCCTGCACAGAGCCAGCCACAGCCCCATAACCTCCCGAGGAGGGGAAAGGTTGCACGGAAAATTGCAGCTTTCCTTTTGCAGCATCCCACTCAAGCAATTCAACCACCGGTGCAATCCCTGCAGGAGGCGTTGCTCTGACCCATAACCAGTGGGGTTGCTGCCCCATATCACGGGATATAGGTGTTGGGGGGGGGGGAGAATGCTTGGATCCCAACAGATCCAGCTTTGAGGGGAACGTTTTAGGGCTGTTAAACTCCCTTACTGTGTACTAGGGGACACAAAGGTTACTTTTTCTCCTGCGTTGTGGAACAGAGTTTTTCCCCCCGTCTCACACCTGCCCTCCCCTTTCTCAGGGGTTCCTGCGTTGGAACCCTCTCCCCCCCACCAGATGTTTTAACACCAGATGTTTTAACATCTGGTCAGTTCAGTGCAGGCCAAGGGAATGGATTTTTCTGCCCGAATCCAGGTAGATATCTGCATGTTCTTTGATTTGAAAATAAGTGGGATGGGGGGGAAATGAGCGCCTGGAGAGAAAGGGAGAGTAGAGAGCAATGGCTGCTAATATTACAGGAGACTTTCGCCTTTTAATTTCATTTGTATGCTGTCTTGAATTTAAGGGGCCACCTGCCCCCCCCCAACGTCCTAGTTGTGCTAAAAAGTGAAAGTGCCCCTCTTTCTTCCTCTCTCTCTATGGTTGGGAGCACGCCACTTTTCTGGACTTTTACCGAGCGTTCACAACAAGTGCCCTCACCGATCAGTTCAGGGATAGTTCGCTATTTTGGACAAGAAGGGAGATCTCTCCATGCGATCCAATTATTAAAAAATTGTGCTGAGGCTGTGGTGGCCTTGGGAAGATCCCACCCCCACCCCAAAAAAGCCAGTTTACACACTGTAAAACCAAAACGATTTTTATAGTTTGCTTCCCGGGCTCAAGACACCCCAAAAGAGAAGCTGAGTTTCCCAAACTGTAGATAGTGGGAATTTACAAAACAAAAAATCAAAATGAAGGCAATAAGATGTTTTTTTCTACTCCAAAAACACATTTTATCTGAAGTGGGTGTTGGTTGGTGCCAAATCTAGACAAATTGTGCCGTTTCTATTGTTCTGGGCTTTTTCTTAAAAAAAAAATCACACTCTTCCCCCAGCATATAACTCTAGGCCTAGTTTATCTTTCACTCTGGTTAACGTCCAAAGCCTTGAATTATGACCAATGCAAAATTGGTGTCCTCTGTTCCTCTCCCTAAAAGCAAAAACAAAAAAGGCAGAATAAGGATAGATCTAAAAACCGAATTTAATTCTGTTTTCTGTAGCTTGGAATGGCATCCAAACTTTATGTGGGTTTGTCTTTCAATCCACAATTCCCAATTTTGCACATTTCAGATGGGTGGACTTCCCAGAATTCCCCAGCCAGCCACGCCCGTGTTGTTTTTTCCCACCCACCCTCTTCCCAGAACAGAGGGATTGCAGTGGAAGGGGATTATAGGAGAGTAATGACTGGCTGGGGAATGCTGGAAGTTGAAGCCTACCCTCCTTCTGCAGCCATCAGATTTAGATGCATCCTCCTGAAAAAAAAAAAAACCAATATTCATGATGAGAAAACAACCACTAAGTGTCTTTATCCTGGTAGACTGCCACTAAATATGGAAGCTCAATTTCCTCAGTTCTAGTGTTGTAAAACCGTTCGCGTCTCCAAGCAGGAAGCGAGCTGTGTAATATCTATGCAGAATATAATCAGGCACCGTGCATTCAAAAGTTTTACCTCCCCCCCCCCCCAAAAAAAACCAGAAAGTCAATGGGTTTACTTAAGCCAAGATGGAGTTGCCACTTTTAACCAGGATTATTTGAACAAGCCATTGTTAATAAGCCCACCTCCCATCGTGATCAAATCTGCCAGATGGGAAGAAACATCCTCAAAACTAATCTTGTGAACGAAAGAGAACAGCTTAAATGTTCCATTTCTTTTTTGAGAAACTAGACAAGTTTGTAGTCCTCATGAGAGGACGAGGGTGAGCCTAACTTGCACAATAACCCACTATGAAAGGGTCTCCCCCAAAGGAACCGCACAACTCAAGAACACACCAGGAACGATGGACAGATTGAGAACAGATTGGGGGGGGGGGGGGAAATGGGTGAATTTTTTAAAATTGATTTTTTAAAATTAATTTTTAAAAACTCATGGCAGCTCCCCTCCCGTCGTCTCAAATCTCACCTCCCTGCCAAAAAAAAAGAAAGAAAGAAGAAAGAAAGAAAGAAAGAAAGAAAGAAAGAAAGAAAGAAAGAAAG